CAGAGACTCATTTTCCCTGTGTCAGAAATAGCAAAGGCAATACTCCACACGAGTGTAGACAATGGAGCCTTAGCCTCTCCTTCCTTGTCCCACCCATGACCCTCACTGTCTTCCGGAGCTCTGCTGCTCTGTAGAGAGGGTCTGCCCTCACGGGTCTATGCAGAGACCGCCAATGGGACCGAGAGGATGTATTCTAATGCTGAGATGGCAGCTGTTGATTTGGTTACTGTCTGTCTCCTCAGCTAATATGTGAGTTCCGAACAACAAGCGTGTTGTCTGAATTTTTCTCTACCAGATTTTCAGTGCCATGGGTAGCATCTACATTCCAGATATCTTAAATGGACCAATGAATAAATAAACATACCACGGAATGGAGACTGTGGTAGCCAGCAGGCTCCCTAAACATGTTCGATTCAGAAAGGAGAGGCAGAGGAGGTTTGTGCCCGCTGCACCTGTGTGTGTCCTTCACGATGACCCGCCAGTTTAGGTTCACTGAGGATAACAGTGCCTTTGTGTGTTTGCCCAGGGAAAAGGAGTGGCAGGCAGCAGGAAGTATATGAGCCAAGGCAGTGAGACTTGAAAGGGCACAGAGAACAGCAATGATTAAGCGCAGGAGAGGTTCAACCCAAGAGATCAGATACCTGGGACGGTATGTCTGAAAGTCAAGCTGAAGGGTAAGATCTGAAGATCAGATGCCTGGGAAGGTAGGTCTGAAAGTCAAGCTGAAGGTGCACAATGTTAGGAAGACTGTTTTCAATGTATTGCCTGTCACTTTAGCAGCAGGGAAATGGCAGGACCAGGTCACTCTGGAAGACCATGAAAGAAGGATCAGATTTATAATGGCGCTTGTTCTTCTTCCCATATCTGCCTAAATGGCTCGATACTCACCTGTCCCAGAAAACCTCACAAAATCATGCAAATCAAGAGGTCAAATCTTTGAGTCCATTTTAAGAGCACCAGTGAAATTGCTCAGGCCATCAAGGGTTTGCCTATCCGGAAAGCCACTAAATAACTGAACGATGTCACTTTGCAGAAACAGTGTGTGGCCATCCAATGTCATCCAATGTCACAATGATGGAGGGAGTGCGTATGCCCAGCCCAAACAGTGGGGTTGGACACAGGGCCGGTGGCCCAAAAAGAGTCCTGAATTTTTGCTACACCCGCCTTACAATGCAGAGAGTAACGCTGGACTGAAGGGTTTCGATGTCGGGTCTCTGGTCATTGAGCACATCCAGGTGAACAAAGCCGGGCCACATTGAAGTGGTCCTTACCGAAAAGGAACAAGTTGCTCCTAAACCAGGAGAGGGGGTTACACAGAAGGCAAAGATACCTATAAGAACTGACAAAGGAAAAACTTGCGGCTTAGGAGTACATTACACTTAAAGTAGAAGTGAATGAGTATAAAAGCAGTGCGGTGGTGGTGGTGGTGAGGAAGAGGTCTTAAAAATTAAGGTAGCAGTTATGAGGCTAATACACAGGTCCAAGTAAGAAGTGAATGGGCCTAACCCAAGAGGGTTAGGCCACAGAATATATGGGTGTGAATATTAGGAGAGGCAATGGATATTCCGATTTGACTGTTATAGTTGAAGCCTTGACAGAGAAGAAAAGTATCTAAATTGAGTCATGGATCATCTTTAGTGTAAGCAAGAAGTTTCCCCAGGAAAAACTTATACAAAAGTCTGGCTTTAATTTCGGAATTTCATAGACATTCTCCAAAATTTTAGTAAAAGATCTATGTGTTTCCGTGAAGGACCCCTGATTGAGAGGAAGGAAAAAAAGGGGGGGGGGGACTGTGGATCCCAACTCTGGTTGGCTGCCATAAAAACATTGATCATTCATTACCAATGAAAGAGTGAGGAGCAGTCGAAGAGCAAAAACCAGAGACAACAAGAAGAACTTTGTTCTTGTGGTCAGAGAAGTCTCAGATGGCACCAGGGACAGTGGGAGATAGAGCTGACATCTGGTTTCTAGACGTTTTGAAAAGGCACCGTGTTCAGGTTGGAACAGTAAAAGAGCCTCATCAGAGAGCTCAGGTTGGCCTAGAAACAGAGTCACGTGCAAGTGGAGTACAGACCCTCCTAAGTAGACAGGCCCCCTTCCTTAGAAAACTTGCCCAGACTCCTCTCTGGAATGAATTGATAACTTCCGTATTTAATGGACTATATGCACAAAGGGGTACCCAAAAAAGAAGTGGAATTGTGCTGAGGGGAGCGGAGCTTTTGTAGTATGAATTTTTTTTAGGTTAATTTTATTGGGGACTCTTACAGCTCTGATAACAATCCATACATCAGTTGTATCAAGCATATTTGTACGTATGTTGCCATCATTATTTTCTAAGCATTTACTTTCTATTTGAGCCCTTAGTATCGGCTCCTCTTTTTTCCCTCCTTCCCACCCTTACACCCTCATGACCCTTGATAAATTATAAATTATTATTATTTTCATATCTTATGCCAACTGATGTCTCTATTACCCCAGTTTCTGCTGTTTGTCCCCCTCAGGGGTAGGGTGAGGGTGGTGAGAAGTATTATGCATCAATCACTGTGATGGGTTCCCCTTTCTCCCCTCCTCCTACCCTCCTAGTATCACTACTCCCATTTCTGTTCCTGAGGAGTTTATCTGACCTGGATTCCGCGTGGCCTGAGCTCTGAACTGTACCAGTGTACATGCTCCAGTCTAGCCAGAACTGAAAGGTCATGATGGTGGGGGGTGAGGAAACCTCAAGAAACCAGAGGACTATTGTGTGTTTCATTGGTGCTTTACTGCGCCCTGGTTGACTTATTCCTTCCTTGTGACCCTTCTGTGAGGGGATGTCCCATTGTCTACAGATGTGTTTTGGGTCTCTGCTCTGACCTCTCTAGTTCTCAGCAATATGTTTTGTTTGTTTGTTTGTTTGTTTTGGGTCTTCTGATGCCTGTTACCTGATCCTGTCGACACCTCATGATCACACAGGCTTGTGCGCCTCTTCCATGTGGACTTGTTGCTTCTCTGCTAGGTGGATGCTTATTTTTAACTTCAGGCCTTTAAGACCCCAGACACTATATCTTTTGATCACCGGGCACCATCTGCTTTCTTCACCACTTTTGCTTGTGCACCCATTTTGTCTTCGGCAATTGTGCCAGGAGGGTGAGCATCACAGAAAATCAGCCTGTTAGAACAGTTTTCTTGTGTTGAGGGAGGGTTTGAGCAGAGAGAGGCCCAAAGTCCATCCGCTACGGATTGCCATATAAATATATGTACTCATAGCACACATTTTTTTCAGGTGATCAGGTTTGTGTTAGTCTGGGTAGACCACTGCCCCAGGAAGCTGCGCCTCGTGATCAGCTTCCATGAAGATTATTGCCAAGAACACCCTATGGAGCAGCTCCACTTGCCCTGGAAGCTCTGCAGGGCAGCTCTCCTCTGTAACACGTGGGTCGCCATGAGTGCTCAGGGACTTCCTGGCTAAGGGGTTTGTACCCATGACTCAAAACTCCGGGTGTATTATTTTTTCAGTGGTCTTGTTTCTGGCTCCATTTCACGTGTCGTGGTTTTTTTGTTTCTGTTTTCATGTAGCACACTTCTTTTGAGGCTCTAGCTGGTGAGCAATCTTGAAAAAATGTTTTGATGCAATGCATGTATGTGCAACAGCAGAAGGCGGTGCTGATGTCCAGAGCATGATGGGAAAGAAGCATGAGGAAAAGCGCTATCATGGTCCTGAACGTTCTTAAGAAAATCCAGCGGTCAAGGGCAGGGCTGAGGCAGCTAGGTCTCTGTCCAGGTCATAGCTGTTGACTCCACGTGTGATCTGAGGCCAATGAGCTTCTCCACTGTAACTTTTCATCTCTGTACCAGCGGGCTCTTTGTATGGTGTGGGGGGTGGTGCGCAGTGCCAGGTGCAGAAGGGGCCCCAAGTCAACATGAGCCACTGCGATCCTCTCCACTCTCACTGGGAGGAGCAGGAGGTAGGCCATCTGCCCTGCTGCCCTGGTGCTGTTCTGAAGCTCCAAGCACCCCTTCTCACCTCTCCCACCGCCCTCCTCCTCTCCCCACGTCGCCCACGCCCACGGGCGCCAGGCAGTTGCCTCGCGGGCCCGATATGGATCACGCCACAGAAGCGCACCTCCATTGCAACCCGCCCCCGCGCCCCCGACACACACAGGGCACATTGGACGTGTTCTCTACCGCCCAGCCTTGCAAACTGTCACCAAGCAGGGACCCAAATGCGCAGATGAAGTCAACTCGACATCGACAAGTGTGATGTAGTCACCCTGAGCCCGAACCCCGGTGGCGTGGCGGCTCTGCGCTCTGAGATCCACAGAGGCCTGAGAAAGGACACGGGGTCCTGGGGAGCCCCAACCGAGACGCGGCTGCCATCCGCGCTCCCGGGCGAAGGCTGAACCGGTGCAAACGAAGCGAGGGAGGGGGAGGGAGGGCGCGTCCCAAGAGGGTCGCTTCATCCAGCCCACTTCCTCCGGTTCCGATGGAGGGTGCTTAGAGGGCGAGGGGGGTGGGAATGGGATTCACATAGAGCCGCCCCCACCCAACAACAGCTGGTCTCCTTGGCTGGGTAGGGGGCGGGAGGCCCGGGCACTGCCGCGTAAAGAGGACGGGTTTCGGAGAAGAGCTGAAAAGCCGCACACAT